GGGGATATGTAATTGTATGTTCAAGTTCATATCATACAAAAAAAAGAAGAAAAAATATTCATACCATACCAGGATCTACATTTAATTTATATTTGTATTCCATAAATAATGTTTGACAGGTTTAATCAGAAGAAGAAAAATGTTTTGGGCTCCAGAAGAATTCTTGTGAAATACAATATGTTGTTATTATTAAACATCATGTTTCACAAGTAATAGCAGCATCAGAAAATTAGTTCTGACTGTTTATTCACAACTTTGTCTTAACCGGCTTGGTCGCAGGATGAGAAAGTTTGGACTCCAGGTGAGGAGGCGAAGAGTTAAACAAGGGGTAGCTGCAAAGGTGGAGGTGAAGGAGAGATACCAAAAATAAAACAATTATGAGGAAGAGAGATGGACTTACTGTTGTTATTTATAGCACACCAGGAAGTGATGTCATGAAGACTACATGTTACAGCAGCTGAGGTGAAGCAGAACCTGGTCGCATTCCTTCCAAATTCCTCATCAAAAGAATTATATTTCATTGCATTTTTGGTCTTGGTGCTTACCATTCACATTACTCAACTTTCCAAGTCATTGATGTTAACCTTTCCTGACCAGTGATGATGCTCATACAGTAGTACTGTAAGTTGAAATTAAGTGTCATGATTACACTTGAGTGTTCTTTGTTGATAATGATAGGTTTTGGTAAAGTTTCCTGCCTGAACACCTTAACCACTACTGAACTATTTATTGTGATGACACAACTTGCAACTTTTTTAGGTCTAATATGTCCCTTATGAAACCCTAGTATGGGGGGATATTAAGATTTGCTGTAACACTGTGCTTTCACTGCATGGTACTGCACTGGTCTACATACATACAATGATTTTAAAAGAAGCATATATAATTTTAAGGTATTTACAAACATATTATTATGCCCAGAATTTGGTTCTCCCCTTGCACCTGTATGTATTATTCTTGCAACATTTGTTTTAGCCTTTCCTGTCAACATTTAGAAGAGTTGATATGAAGTTTAGTGTTTTTGGATTCAAATAATTCCAGTATGAAACATAGAAACAAGGAAGTCAAGTCAAAATCTTTTTATCACTAGCACAGTAAAATTGCTCAGAAGTTTTCCACTGTATATTGCTGAAAAAAAGACCTGGTAGGGATAGTTTTAAAAATTGAGACAAGGCATGAAATCGGTATTTCTTCAGTAAGCCATTTTTTGAATACACTACATTCTGTCTTCATGTTTCAAGTTCACTGAAGCTTGGGAGACTGATTGATGTTGTCATCGCCGTCATCTGCGCCTCACGCATCTAGTGATGAAAACTTGCTGAAATTTACTCGGGGAACAGCAGTACCTTGCTTCTCGCAAAACCATTTTATTGCAGCAGATGTGCATTCAGAAAGCCAGCTAACAAAAAAGCAATGAATCCCAGCTGTGGCTCTCATCAAGTTTTCTATCAGGCTGCCATTCAATCATAAAAATAAGAAGTGGAAAATGTCTACGTTTGTATCTTTGTGTTTTTTCTTCCTGGATGCATTCCAGGTCTGAAACATGTCTTGTAACCTTGTGATGCTGTAGATTATTGATTATTCAGTGCAGTAGTCTTAGTAGTCTTCCAAGATTTCATTGCATTCATGGACTGCTGTATGATGTAATCGCAAACATTGCAACCATTGCAATATGTTGGGAAACTTTGTGACGATAACTAGCAAAATCGGGGCATATCGAATTAACCTAAATATCCTTTACAAACAGAGTGTTGTAAAGGAGGCTAAGAGCATTATGGAGTCTGCGGTTCTCCCCCTGCACTGTAAGCTGATGCTACTCTCATCTGGGAGACGCCTCTGTGTTCCCTGATGTAATGGTAATGGTCTCAGGAAATCTTTCATGCCCTCTGCAATCTCAAACTCAAACAATGTAAAGTAACTCTCTTATCTCTTAAAACACTGCTGCACTGTCTTCTTTGTTGGTAACATTTATCTGTCTTTGTTGTATTGCTGTAAAGGACTGTGCTGTGAAACTAATTTTCCCCGGGGCATAATAAAGCTTGAATTGAAATCCCTGACCTCCCTCAACGTCCCTCCAGAAATTAAACATTTTGTTTCCTCTGCCTGTAAGAGATAAATAAGTGTCACTATATTGGCATATATTTAAAGACATAACCTCATATATCCTTTATACTGCATCCATAAATGCCATACTGCAGTGTCATTGATTTGGCCAAATACGTCAAATCTAAATAGCAAGTAAAACGTGAGCAATAGATACAAGATTAATACTAAGTTTCCAATATTAGAAGTGACACACTGCAAAAATTAAAATCTTTTTTAGCAAAGTATGTGATCTCCCTGAGCTCCAAATACCCTGTGGCTGAACAACTGAACAGCCAGAAAAATGCTCATGACAACATGCTTCACACATGTTGGCTACCTCCAGGTCTGTCAAGGGCAAACGATATTCCGCAGTGAATTAAATGCTATTACCACTTTCTCTTTTACCACTGCCAACTTACATATTCCCTGACCCATAGAAGATGGCAATTGTGTCTACCAGATGTCAACATATTACCCCTGAACAGCCTTCAAAGGGGCATTGTCTTCATTCAGATTGTGAGCTACTGTGCAGATGACTTCACCTTGGGTGAAGTCAGGTGTGTTGACTCTCTGCATTCCAGGATATGACCTGTTTCTCACTAAGCCAGTTCCTTGGTGCCTCTGGAGTTGTCTGCTGATTCTAATTCTCAGCTCATTCTCCTCGTAAAAAAATCTCACAGGCTGCCTTAAATTCTGTTGACAGAAACAAGGAGATTTTCATTACTCAAGCAGGCTGTGATCATATATTTTGCATTTCCTGTGTTAATTATAATAATGCTTTTCTTAACATGGCTGTTTCTAGAGATGCTTAATCAACTTGTGTACGTAAATTGGAATGTTTGGGAATTTCAATTTTTCCAAAAAATGCATCCTGTGACAAAACAAATTGATAAAAAATCTCGCAACAGTGTATTCCATGAAGTACTTGTCTTTTCAAATGTGATGCACTGAAGTTGCTACAGTATTCCCCAAAAAAGGTTTTCAAGTTAACTTAGGTTTTCTTCATTTTTTTATAATCATAACTGTTACTTCTCCTTCTCTCAAGAGAAGCATGCTACTTATCAATATCAATATGAAATATGGTTAATTTATTTACAATGGGTTAACTTAAACCATGTCATTTATCTGTGATGAAATGTATCAAGTACATTTCAAGGGGGAGAGGTGGTGATGGAGCAATATTAGACATTTTTAAAATGGCAATTTTTTTAATATACTGTATGTGTCATATGAAATTAGCAACAATGCTGTTTTTATATTGATGAATGTTAGGGATGTTCAAGATTTTGCTGGTTCATTCTATTTTGTTGGGCCAGAGAATGGGCCAATGGTTGATGAAACGATACTTTTTTATAAAATCTTGTTATGTAGCAGGACAGTTTCATTTTAATGAAGAAACCTGCTGTAAATACAATTTCATGTTTAACACTGAGACGTGGAGGCACAAAAAAAACGTGACTTGTGAGTGTCTCAAATGCAAGTCACAAAAATAATGAGCACTAAGTGAAACATATTCCATCACAAATTTCTTCTAAACCAAGTTCAAAACTAATTTACCTGACACAGAGGCAATGTAACTCACCCCATCAATAAAAACAGAGGCTTCTACATTTTCACAATACATTTAAGACCCAGAAATGTAACACTGTGGTGTCATCTGGACATACTGTACACCCTTTGCTTCTAAAACTGGAGTATCTGAGAGAGTATGGTTATTCATCTCAGTATTTACACCCAGAATGCCACTTGAGACCCATTGGCATAACTGTCGTTTACCTCAGCAAGTTCAAGACATATCCTGTTGTCAGTCTCCATAGGCTGTATGAGGGCACATTATGGTAAATTGAATTTTAACTGAACTCAATAGTTCTGAGACAAGCATGCATTGTAAGTTCTGTCTTTGTCTTTTACTTTGTCCCAGAAGGATTCAAGGATCAGCCAGTCATTGCTGATTTTCCATGCCAAGCTTCGAGGTTCTGAAATATGAGTAGAGATTGATTAGGATACTTCTATCCTAACATTTGAGAGAGAAGCAAACACGATTTGGTACTCAGTTCGCAGTTTCTTACAATTGTATTTATAAAAGAGGCCTAGAAAGACTACTGTATGTACCACAAATTGGATAGCAAGTTTTGTTATCACTAGTAAAAGGGTGAAACAGACCAGCATATACTGTAGATGGAACACATTGAATTTTGATTAAGCCAGCTGTGATAAAGAGTTACAGTAGGTGTTTATGTTATGTTTATGTTGGTTATCAATATTAACGTTCAAAGTGCTGAATTAAAATCTATGAAAATTCTACATTGTCCTCGACCTCAATTAAAAATAAAAGTGTGCTCCAGAGAAGAGAGAACAGACATATTAATGGAATTAAAGAATGTGAGAGGCTAAAAGAAGAACTGATTTGTATTAGTCTTAAGCACAGAAAACGACAAAATGGGCTGATTCAAAATATTTAAGTGCATAGCCAAATTCAACCCAACGGTTTTTGTCAGAATCAACAGTTAAACTCAAACCAGAATACATAAATTAAGTGCACTTAAACATTGTGAATAGGAGGCACTTTTGTACATGCAGAATAGTAGGAGTATGGAAAAAAACGCCCAGGCAAATTTTCAAAGCGGATTTGCAAGTCTCTCCCAAAACGCTCCTGAATGACATCTTCAAATCACTTACAGTAGCATCGAACAACCAAATGAGTTCAATGGTCTGAAGGGCCTGGTCTTGTTTGTTACTTCTCTCTTTTTCCCATGATGCTCAAACAGACCAAAGAGGACCCACAATTGTCTATTAATTAGAATTAGTTATCTCATTTATAAGTTTATTAAAGTTCAATCATTAAATCAACAATTATTACTTAGAATGAAACATGGAAATATTTCATAGTTTGCTTATTTTGTTTCCTCTTGCAGACTGGTGAAGAGGACAGACTTGCTTCGTAATCCCTTGACCAGAACTCTAGCTTGATCCCTAGTCCATTCCTGTAGGAACTCTACAGCTGGGTTTTACTCTAGCACGATGGATGATACATACAGAGACAGGACTTCACTGGTTAAGGGGGCAAAGGACATTGCCAAAGAGGCTAAGAGGCAGGCAGTGAAGAAAGTGAGCCGGGCCGTGGACAAAGCCCAGGACGAATATACCCAGCGTTCCTACAGCCGATTCCAAGACGAAGAGGAAGATGATGACTACTACTACCGGCAGGATGGAAACTACTCTGGAGCAGCCAATGACGAGGAGGGCTCCAGCGACGCCACCGAGGGCCACGATGAGGAGGACGAGATTTATGAGGGCGAGTACCAGGGTATCCCCACCACGGGGCAAACCAAGGAGAACCAGGTGGCTCTTGGGCAGCCAGTGCCAAATGAGTACAAAGACCGCCTGGAGCTGGAGACCGAGCGTAAAGCCGATGAGGAGGAGCTGGCGCAGCAGTATGAGCTCATCATCCAGGAATGTGGCCATGGGCGCTTCCAGTGGCAGCTGTTCTTCGTGCTTGGCATGGCACTCATGGCCGATGGGGTGGAGGTGTTTGTGGTGGGGTTTGTGTTGCCCAGTGCGGAAACAGATATGTGCATCCCTAACTCAGGATCAGGTTGGCTAGGTAAGTGACTTTCTCAAACCTTGTGTTGGAACAGGGATATTTGTCAGTGTGCCATGACATAGTCCCATGTATCTGCCTTAGCTGAACAATTAACTGTTGCTAAGTGGCATTTTTAAAAAATGTTTACACTTTTCCGCAGTTTAGCATATACTGTATGTTGGTTTTGTGTATATGCAGTTTGCGCAGAGGTTTTATTCAGAATAATGAACTAATTACATGAAGTTCAACTCCCAGGTAGATTATAAAAGTCTCTCACATACGGTGCCTTGCAATAGAGTTTGCAAAAGATTGAGCTTGAGCAAGTTTACAAAAAATAATAGATGCAAGTTTCACCTTCCTGGTGCGCAAAGCTGGAAATCCAAAAAGGCAACTAGAAATGTTTTCAAGGGTGGTTCTAAAAGTGCGTTCAGTGGTGACTCAAGGTGGGATGGATGACTCAAGGGATGAATACTTATGCAATCATCATATTTTACTTACTGTGCAGTATTTTCTGACATTTAACGTTTTTGCTAAGTGCTCAGTTTGAGCATTCAGCACTCAGTTAAATTATTTTGAATCAAAATATTCACTCTAAAAGAAGCCAAGGTAAATGACAGTGTCAGTATACAGTATATCAAAGAGATAGTATAAAGTTTTTATGCTTTGCTCCATTCTGATCTTTTACCTTAAGAAAATAAATAATATGACACTATTTTATACTGATAGTAACTGATTGTACACAGTCACCTTTTTCTTGGATTCAGTTTTTTGCTTCCTTGTTATGAATCTAAAAAAATATTGACACAGGGATTCAGCCCTCTTACTGGACTTTTATTTTAGAATAAAATAGTAGAAAATGAAATGAAGTGGATAGTAAACTATTCAGTTTTTAAACATCTCATACATCAAGTAACCAAGAAATAACTGTGCTTTAAGCAGAGGAAATCAGAAATATTTTTTCTTTTGTAGTATCATGAAGCTTATAGCTAATTTTTTTTCACAGCTGCTTCTTCAAATGGTTAAGCTGAGCTTTGCAGATGACATTTTTAATGTGTATTTGCATTGGGTTTGGTATAGGTCATTCGTTGTCATGGCACCAAGCATTGCCAGACAGTAGTAGGAGGCCACATGAGTAAATCATCTGCATATTTTTTTATGACAGTAGGGTGTGTGTGTTTATGTAAAATAAAATAAAATGGCTGTAGGCTGGATGAAAACATGAAAATGTCATGGAAAATAATTGTTTGATTTGAGGATGGATATCCTGGACTTAGTTTTAAATGAAATGCTGTATTGAGTTCATGATTCAGTTTCAGGGTTATCAAGAGAGATTCAGGTTTCATAAAGTGTTGTTGGTAATATCTGGAATTATTTAATAATTAATAATAATTGCTTACACTTATATAGTGCTTTTCTGGACACTCCACTCGAAGCGCTTTACAGGTAATGGGGACTCCCTCCACCACCACCAATGTGCAGCATCGACCTGGATAATGCGACGGTAGCCATAGTGCGCCAGAACGCTCACCACACATCAGCTATTAGTGGGGAGGAGAGCAGAGTAATGAAGCCAATTCATAGATGGGGATCATTAGGAGGCCATGATTGATTAGGGCCAATGGGAAATTTGGCCAGGATGTCGGGGTTACACCGCTACGCTTTTCGAGAAATGCCCTGGGATTTTTAATGACCACAGAGAGTCAGGACTTTACATCAAATCCGAAGGACGGCATCTGTATCCCTGTCACTATACTGGGGCATTAGGACCCACACAGACTGCAGGGTGAGCGCCCTCTGCTGGCCCCACTAACACCGCTTCCAGCAGCAACCTTAGTTTTTCCCAGGAGGTCTCCCATCTAGGTACTGGCCAGGCTGACACCTGCTTAGCTTCAGTGGGCTGCCAGTTGTGAGTTGCAGGGTGATATGGCTGCTGGGAAGCCCAAGATTCGATGATGAAAGAATTCTAATCAGTCTATCCATTTTCTAAATGCTTTATCCAATACACGTAATGGAAGCTGGTCCAGGCTCCCGTGAAGTGTAGTTCAGGACCCTATGCAGACAGTATAATCCAGAAGTAAGTGGAGAAGGACATCAGGGGAAGGTACAGCAGGTTAAGTGCCGGTTGACAGACAGGGGGGCGTGGCATCAGTGATCCAGTGGTCGGGGGGCGTGGCTCTGGTAAACAAGTTCAGACAGTCCAAGGGGAAAATCCGGGGTGTTGTCCAAGATACAAAACCGGGTGATCCATCCAAGACAAGACAAACAAGGTGAAAATCCAGAACGGGATCCGAAACAGGGACAGGGAATAAAACCAAGGTAACGAGGCCAGGTGCTCCAAGCCTCAGACTCAGATAGTCAGGATGCCGTGATGAAGCCTCTCCTGGACCCGCTGGTAGATGGGCTTCTGGGCGTCCATCTCCCAATGCTGAGCTAGGAATAGCAAGAGCGCCAGGCTTAAATAGTGAGACAAAACAGGAGGCAGGTGCACATAATCAACTAAAACACGAAAGGGTTAGAGCGCCCTTAAGAGGAGGGATGACAATCGTAACACTACAGTGTTGCTGGGGGAGCTGCAGCAGAAACTGGCAGGCACAATCTGGATGGAACACCAGTCCATCACTGAGCCCACATGGACACTAACACGCCAGGGCCAATTCTCCCAGAAGTCAATTAACCTACCCGTATGTCTTTGGACCATGGGGTGGAGACCCATGCAAACACGGGGAAAGCACACAAATTCTGTGCAGATAGCACCTCAAGAATTAAACCCAGTGTCACAGCACCATGAGGAAACAGTGCTAACCACTATGCCACAGTGTCACTTATTCAAACACTGTACTGTATATATGGGGAAAAAGAAAGTGAGGCAATTTTCTAAAAGAACCTGCATGACAATCAGAAGTAATTCAGGTAGCCAACTGCAGTGTGTTTTCGGTAGGAAAACAGGAAGAAGCTTCACACCTGTTGAAAATGAAGGATAATTGCATCCAGTTAGGTAACTCAGTTTGAATTGTTTTCTAGTCAGTTCAGTCCTCTGTTGGGACAGTCCTCTGTTCATTTACAGAAACACTTGACAGGTTGAAGAGATCTATTTGAAAGAATGGAGAGAATAATTAACATGAAAAAGGAGTTCTGTTATTTTACACTTTCACTCTAATTATCATTAATGAGATATATTATGGTATGTGAATGTGAAATATAGTGAGTTTTATTGTTTATTTTAAATTCCTTGGAAAAATGCTTACATTGGTCAGATATGTGTTGCCAATAACATAAAAAATATGAACATGAGTGGTATCAGTTGGGTATATAGTACATATGTACAGTATTCACAAAGACGAAGGGCAGAAGTATTTACTGTATAAACCACTGTCAATGGTTTACCTGTTAAAAACAGTTAATGACTTTAATTTACGGAGTTTGTAACAAATGTTAATGACAGACAATAATAACAACAAAGCATTTAAATTTGATAGTTTTGTTTAAACTACATACTTTTTTCTTTTCAATGAGAACATTTTGCATTTAAATGACATTTTCATAGTACATGAGATAGTACTCTTAACACATCAGCATTGCCAAAAGGACTCTGCATTAATCCTTTACTCTGTTGGCTACAGTTTGTATGGTAATCTAGAATTGTTTTGCATGTTGTGAATAACATCTCACCCTATGTCTTTCCATTCCTGTCTGTAGCTGTATGATACACAGACTTCTGTTTTTGTAGACACAGGAATACTGTCTATTTATTCTCCCTTCACATGACACATTTCAAAAATTCAAAAGTATTTGATGTAACTATAGACTAAAAGCTTTAGATGTTTTTGTATTTAGAGATTCAATGATCTACTTACAATAACAGTAAACCAACAGTAATTCTAAGTTTTACTGTCAAGTATTTTGTACATGTTTAAAGATTGGTCAAAAACATTGAAGTACATACTGTACTGTATTTCTGCAGTATCAGCTGAAGATTTGTAAAACAATGTCTTTTCTGCTATTCACAGAAAAGAAAGACACACATTTAACCCTCACTCACAAGGTGTTCTACTAAATGTATACAAAAGACAGTACACATGCACAAAGAGGAGTGTGACAATATTCTTCTGTTGTTATAGACAATGCTATTGTGCAAGGGACAATATTATTGCAATATATTGCAAATTTTCACAATCATTGAAATATATTAATATATAAAGCTAAATTATTCACAAATAAATGATTACATTTTAATACAATGTTATCTCATTTAAACATAAAAATGTTTTTGATTAAACACAAAATAATGTTTCCACGGTGCTAATAAGCTGCTGTACTTTAATTGTGATGAGGCATTCTTTCAGGACCCTATGCAGACAACACAACCCGGAGGGGGGAGTGAAAAAAACACAGGGAAAGGGCATGCAAGGGGGCTGGAAGGAAAACAGGGGGTGTGTCCATGGTGCGCTGGTGTTCGGGGGAGGTGTGGCCAAGGCAAACAGTCCGAAGAGAGTCCGAGGCTATGAGTGAAGGAAATGTCCAAGACCGGGTAATCCATCTTGACAGACAAACAAAGTTAAAAGCCGGAGCAGGATCCGGCAGAGGGTCGGAGCAATAAAAAGGGGGTAACGGGACTAGACGCTCCCTGATCCCAGACCCAGATGGTCAGGATGCCGTTGTGAAGCCTATGCCGTCGAGTCGCTCCTGGACTCGCAGGTAGGCGGGCTTCCGGGTATCCATCTTCCAAAGCTGAGCCCAGAGTAGCAGGAACATCTGGCTTTTATAGCACAGGGCTGGAACCAGAGGCAGGTATGGGAAATGACTATAAAACAAGGAAGGCCTTAAGAGGAGGGGTTTACAATCGTGACATTAATATAACCATAAAACAAATAAAATACAAAATATTTGAATATACAGAGAGCTTCTTGTTGAATTTTATACCAGCGCACAGTTACTACAATATCAAAAGTTAGCAACTTTAAACCCTAGTTATAATTGTGTTAACAATTTAGTAATATAGCCATTTGAAGAACAGCCCAACT